GAGGGGGCACAGGCACAAAATGAGTTAGTCAGGGCTTAAACTGACCCAATGTGAGATAAATAGCGCCGGCGGTGTGTTTCCATGCAATCATTTAACGCAGACTTCAAACAGAGATGCATATTTCGGTAGTATTCGACATCAGTTCCAGTTACAAAAGCTCAAAAAGATAAACAAGAAAGTAACGAAAATCGTGCCTCCTTCAAACCAAATTGGCGAGACGAGCCCACGCATGGAATCGAGCATCTCCGCCCATTTCCAATGTTCCACGGGCGAAATTTGAGACGATTGCATGCATAGAGGAATCGACAGTGCTGCCACCGAGCCTGAGCAACAATATTAATAGAGGCGGCTTCACAGGCCGAATAAACACTCCGGTGTTCACTTGGGAGGGGCCACCCAATGGTTTGGTTGCATAGTTTGAGAAACTTACTAGTATTGGTATGGAAAAGACATTTACGAATTGTCGTGTGGCATTTCAAGAGAAGCCAGCCGATGTTATTCATTGCTTTTCCGACGCTGAATAGTACCGGGTGGACAACGAGTGTGTGCAATAGATTACGAAGTGGTGACTGATGCTGTTAGTATATCTCAGTGGGTATACGGCGGCTGTAATTATAGCCTAATGGGTAGCGGGTCTAGTCTCGTCTCTTAGAGGGACATAAAATCCACGTGACTCGCTTGGCAAATCTTAGAAACAAAACCCTGTCTGGCGGAAATGGAAAGTGAAGCCAACTTGGCGCGCTACACACATGCAAAAGTAACTCCAGTTGAATGAAATTGATAGCAGACACTTATTGCAGTGATTGTCACGCGTGTAGCGAAAGCAACAGGGGAAGTTTTACTGTCAACGTGTATGGCGCTATGCGTGTAACGCATGCAACTATCTGCATCCCAAACTGTTGTCAACGGAACGGAACACATTGGAGACGATTCAGAAATTAACATTCGTCTGCTGATATGGGAGTGATAAGCGACGTACGATATATTCGTGTTGAAGGGAGTCAGCAAGAAGATCAACCAACTGCGCTGGAGTCGGGGTTGATTTCCCCCGGTGGAACCAGCCACATGTCGAGGTGAGTGGCACATTTCTACTCTCTCATAACAGACAGGGGAAGTGGTGATACCTTGGGGCGAATTCCAGTGGTCCAATGTCACCCAGGCAGCCCGGCAATGGCGGCAACCTTCGAAGGTTGCAGCGGTGCCCGGTATAAAGGCCAGCAGTGCCGCCACCGACGCATAGTCACCCTCTGCTCTCCACCAATCATGAACAAGGTGAGCCCGGTGGTGTCGGTGTTCATGGGGCCGGCTGAAATCTGACGACTAGGCTGGGCGGAACTGTAATGTTTACATGGCTTCTTGCTGCCTGCATTAGTTTTGGGAATCATTGTTTTTTTTATTGGACATTGTGCATTGTATGTGTTTTTGTATGATTTGGTTACGCAATGGTTTAAGGGTGTTGGCATGCTAGGTTTAATGAACACATCACCAAGATGCTGCCAGGGACGGCGAAAAATGTGTTGTAGTTCAAGTCATCACGCAAAGAGCAAACATTTCTTGGTAAAGTCTGAGTCGCTGCTACTCAGCTGCGAAGCAAGCAAAGTTCTTTTCTTATTGATGTTCCTCAAAACCCCAAATAGGCATGTCTTCCTTTCAATTCCAAGCCATGGGAACGTCCACATCACTTCTTTCATCACGAAAGGGACTAAATATGATACAAAACGGTTTTGAAGTGTTTTGGTTTACCCTACGAATGCACACGTTTCAGCGCATGGAAAAGAGAAACGTGAATGTTAAAAGCTTATTAAGATGCACGTAAGCAATTTAGACGCGTCACAACACTGTGTACTGCTTGGCTGTTTGCTGCTTCTCCAGCTCTCGCCATCTCACTATCGTTCCACTGTTGCTTGCAGTTTTTCGTCGTGCTCTCGCTGGCCGTGGTGGCCGTGGCGGCCGCCTCCGATGCGGACCTGGACCAGGACGAGTCCATCGCCGTGGCCAGCTACGCCGCCCCCGCCTACGGTGGAGGTTACAGCTACGCCGCTCCCGCCTACGGCTACACCCGTAGCTACACTGCTCCCGCCTACGGTCTGGGCTACGGCAGCGGCTACGGTCTGAGTTACGGCAACGGCTACGGTCTGGGATCCCGCAGCGGCTACGGTCTCGGCTATGGACGCAGCTACGGCTACAGCAACGGCTATGGTTTCGGATATGGCTCTTACGGCTACGGCAATGCCGGCTATGGTCTCGGCTACGGCCGCCGCTCTTACGGTTACGCTGCGCCGTCTTACGGATACAGCCGTAGCTACAGCTACTCTGCTCCTGCCTACTATGGCGGCTACAGCAGCTACCACTAAAGAACCCAGCGCGAGCAGCGAAAGTGAAACTTGAGTACTCTCATGATTGTGACTTAACTTTGGAGGTTTTACCTGACTAGCGTACCGTATGGTTTGAGTTGTCAGGTCTGAATACACACTATCGATTGTTTTCATCATGTCGTTTGTTCCAACTCGTGCCTAGCTCTACTTTGAGAAGGACAAATATGAGCAGGAAAGCATGCAAGAAGATTAAGACAAAGATAGAAGAATAAGTATCAAAGCTGCGAGGTTCCGAAATGCTCGTTGTAAAGAACGGCACCTGATCAGGGACATGCCAGTGACACGATCGACTCGGGCATGGTAGTGCGTGTAGGTGTGATGAAAAAATAATGAATTCGCCTGTTACCTATACACTTCAGTTCCCAGTATATATGATTTGCTCATTGTTTTCTTGCCGTTACAAACTCTCACACGTTAGTGTAGGACGCTTTGAACTCTAAGCAATAATAACGACGTAAGGCTCAATTTTTAAGCGGGACGGAAAGAAACGTTTCACTTAGCTAAGCTGAGGACTTTGTAAGATATTCTTCAGGCTTGGAGCGAAGTGATTACGAAAGTCTCCCCGGCTTTCCAAAGACAAATGCTTAATAGTTCAAATTTACATGGCAAAATGCACTATGCAGACATACGTGCCATGCCGTATTGTTTTTGTTGTAAATATTTATTTGCCTCTTTATGTTTGCGTCTACCATCAACGTTGTCGCATTGGATTACAACACTTGTGTCATGTTTGGCCCAAAGACGCCGTCATCAGCTAATACTTTTTCAGGCAAGAGATTGCTGAAGAGACTGAAGCAGATGTTTTCTCAACGGATGCATTCACGTATTCCCAGGGGCTTAAAGGCCATCTGGGGTCTGCTTAGAATATCACGTAAAATCCATATTCGGCTGCCCTGTATTGACCAGAATTGGGAGGAGGTTTACTTGGGGACAGGCATAAAATGTTGTCAAGTCTTCTCCTATTGACTGGGCGGCAGCGGGTGGGTTATATGATCGTAAAATACGGTGCCATCACGAATAAAGAGATAAGTCAAAATGCGGCACTGCCATGCTTCTAGATCGCAAGCTCGCAATACGATCTCAACAGCTTGTTAGGCTTCCTTTCATGACATTAGCCTCGATTTCATAACACATACGTTTGGTACCTAGCCGCGCGCATTGCGACTTTCTTGAGCAACACGTGTTTCTTGGTAAACGAAACTTGATGATCCGGTGGCTCTTCAGCTTGATCTTGATCATATACAATGTGCATGACAGGGGCGCACGTGGGTGAGAGAGGGGGCACAGGCACAAAATGGGTCAGTTAAGGCTTAAACTGACCCACTGTGAGATAAATAGCGCCGGCGGTATATTTCCATACAGGCATTTAACGCAGAGTTCAAACAGAGGTGCATATTTTGGTAGTATTCGACATCAGTTCCAGTTACAAAAGCTAAAAAAGCTAAACAAGAAAGCAACCAAAATCGTGCCCCCTTCGAACCAAATTCTCAAGACGAACCCACGTATGAAATCGATTATCTCCGCCCATTTTCACTGTTCTACAGCCGAAACACTAGACCATTGCATGCATAGAGGAATCGACGGTGCTCCCATCGAGCTTACGCAACAATATTAATAGAGGTGACTTCACAGGCTGAATAAACACTTTGTTACTCATATGAGACGTGTAACAGGATGGTTTGGCTACATATTTTGAGGCTTACGAGCATTGATGTGGAAAAGACATTTGCGAATTGTTAGGTATACATTTCAAGAGATGCCAGCCAATGATATTCATTGCTTTTCCAACGCTAGACAGTACCGTGCGGGCAATGCGTGGGTGCGATAGATTACGAATAGATACCTCTAAATGCCAATACGCGAGAATGCAATTGAACAGAAGTTAACACGGAACCCCGCTATCTGTGCTAGTCGAAAGGCTGGGATTTGCGGGTATGTAAGCAGGTTGTTTTTAAATTTCTGCGGTATCAGCAAAGTTGCTGGTCTTTTACAAGCACATAAAACCCACGTGATTCGCCCGGCAAATCTTAGAAGCAAAAATCTTGCCGAGCGGAAACGGAAAAAGTCGACTTAGTGCACTACACACATGCAAGAACAACTCCAATTGAATGATACCAAACAACTCCAATGAACTGATACCAAACACTTGTTGCAGTTGTTGTGACGCATGTAGCGAAAATAACAGTAGAAGTTTTCCTGTCAACTTGTACAGCGACATGAGTGTAACGCATGCAGCTATTTGCATCCCATACTGTTGTCAACGGAATCGAACACATTGGAGGCGATTCAGAAATGACGATTTGCCTGCTTATATTGGAGTCACAATTGACACACAATTAATTCGTTTTGGAGTGATTTGGAAAAAAAAACAAAAACATCCCAATGCGCTGGAGTGGCGGTTTGATTTTCCCAGGTGAGGCCAGCCACATGTCTGGGTGAGTGGCACATTCCTACACTCTCATAACAGACAGAGGAAATGGCGATTCCCTAGAGCTAATTCCAGTGGACCAATGTCACCCAAGTTGGCGGGCACCGCGGCAGCCTTCAAAGGTTGCAGTGGTGCCCGATATAAAGGCCAGCAGTGCCGCCACCGACGCACAGTCACTCTCTGCTCCACTACCAATCATGAACAAGGTGAGCCCGGTGGTGTCGGCGTTCATGGGAAAGGCTGAAATTCGACGATTCATCATGGTTGAGGTGTGAAGCTTAGATGGCTGCCCGCTACCTGCATTAATTTGGTACTCATTGGCTCTGTTTGGTATTGGACATTATGGATTGTGTGCGTTTTGCTATCATTTGGTTACGCAATGGATTAAAGGTGTTGGCAAGATAGGTTCAATAAACACATCACCAAGATGCGATGGGGTCTGCACAAAATGCGTTGTAACTCAATTTATCACGCAAAGAGCGAACATTACTTGGTAAAACTTAGGTCGCTGCTGATGAGCTGCGAAACAAGCGATGTTCTTTTCTTATTTATGCTCCTCAAAACCCCCACATAAGCATGTTCACCTTTCAATTCCAAGCCATGGGACGTTTAAATTGCTCCTTTAATCGCAAAAGCTGCTAAACATGGTACAAAAACGGCTTTGAATTGTTTTGGCTTACCCTACTAATGCACACGTTCTAGCGCATGGAATTAAAAACATGAAATGCTCAAGGTTTACTGAGATGTACGTAAGCAGTTTTGGTTGCGTGGCAACACTGTGCACTGTTTGGCTGTTTGCTGTTTCTCCAGCACTCGCCATCTCCATTGTTTCCCCGTTGTTTGCAGTTTTTCGTCGTGCTCTCGCTGGCCGTGGTGGCCGTGGTGGCCGCTTAGGTAACTGCTGGTCAGCTGAGAAATAAGCGGAGTTTTTTCGTATTTGTATTCCTCAATAACCTTAATTTAGTTTTTCCACCCTTTAATTCCAAGCCATGGAAAATTTGAGAATGCTGTTTTCATCACGAAAGTTGCTAAACATAGTATTAAAATGGTTTGAAGTGTTTTGGTTTACCCTACAAATGCACACGTTTCAGCGCATGGAAAAAGGAAACATGAAATATTCAAAGTTTACTGAGATGTACGTAATCAATTGTAGATGCGTGGCAACACTGGGCACTGCCTGGCTGTCTGCCGTTTCTGTAGCTCTCGCCATCTCACTATCGCTCCGATGTTTTTTGCAGTTTTTCGTCGTGCTCTCGCTGGCCGTGGTGGCCGTGGCGGCCGCCTCTGATGCGGACCTGGACCAGGACGAGTCCATCGCCGTAGCCAGCTACGCTGCCCCCGTCTACGGTGGAGGTTACAGCTACGCCGCTCCCGCCTACGGCTACACTCCTAGCTATGCCGCCCCCGCCTACGGTCTGGGCTACGGCAGCGGCTACGGTCTGGGCTACGGCAGCGGCCACGGTCTGGGCTACGGCAGCGGCTACGGTCTGGGATACCGCAGCGGCTACGGTCTGGGTTATGGACGCAGCCACGGCTACAGCAACAGCTATGGTCTCGGATATGGCTCTTACGGCTACGGCAATGCCGGCTATGGTCTCGGCTACGGCCGCCGCTCTTACGGTTACGCTGCGCCGTCTTACGGATACGGCCGTAGCTACAGCTACTCTGCTCCTGCCTATTATGGCGGCTACAGCAGCTACCACTAAAGAACCCAGCGCGAGCAGCGAAAGTGAAGCTTTGATACTCCCATGGTTGTGACTTAACTTTGGTGGATCTACCTGACTAGCAAATCGAATGGTGTGAGTTGTCAGGTCTGAATACACACTATCAATTGTTTAGATCATATCTTGTGTTTCAACTTGTGCTTACCTCTACACTGAGAACGACCAACATGAATAGGATAAGTATGAAAGAAGATCGAGAGAACGATAGAAGGATAAGTACGAAAGTTGCGAAACTACGAAATGCCCACACTAAACAGTGGCGACTGTGAAATGGCATGCCAGCGACACCATCTATACGGACATGCTAGTACATCGATACGTGACAAATAGACTACAGGAAATTAACCTTAGGACTTTTGGTAGCGTAATTCTTCTTAGGAGCGAAGTGGTGAAGGGGATGCCCTCCGTCTCTGGAAGGCCAAAGTCCTTGATATTTATATTTTTAAATGTTGAAATGCAGTATGGAACCATAATCATCAGTAAGTGTTATCATTTTAAAGCTTTTTTCCCCTATGTTTATGGCTCCACCAACGCCGATGCGGGGCGCCGTCATTGGCTGATACTTTTTCAAGCGATGGATTGCTGAAGAACTTAAAAGAACAGTTTTCCCAACGGATACATTTGCGCATTTCCAATACATGTAATGCGAGCTGGGTTTTGCTTAAAATGTTCTTGCCCATATTCGGCTGAAAATGGCTGATTGCTGAAAGATGCCGGCACTTAAGTTTTACAGCACTTCTGTTTTACAACACTTAAGTTTGGTACGTGGCCATGCGCGTTACAGCTTCCTTGATGACCATGTGTTTCTTTATATAAAAAATTGATGAGTCGATGAGTTGAACGTTATTTTAACCGTGTGGAATGTGCAAGACAAGGGCGTAGATGGAGCAAAGGAGGGAGGAAGGCGGGGGGGGGGGAGGGGGCGGCACAGGCACAAAATGAGTCAGTGAAGGCTAAAACTGAGCCATTGTAAAATGAATGGCGCTGGCGGTACATTTCCATGCAGTCATTTGACGCACAGTTCCATCAGTATATTGACTTAAAAATGGAAACAGAGTTGCATCTTTCGGTAGCGTATGACCTCAGTTGCAGTTAGAAACGTTAAAACCAAAACCAAATTAAAGAATATCGTGTCTCTTGGACACCAAATTAGCAAGATGAACCCACGTATAGATTTGAGCATTTCTGCCCATTTCCAATGTTCCACGGCCGAAATTTCAGACGATTACATACTTTAGGGGAATTGACGGTGTTCTTACCAAACTTGAGCAACAATAGTAATAGAGGTGACTTCACAGGTTGAATGAACACTTCGATACCCATATTCAGAGGAGTGACGGGATAGTTTGGTTACATATTTTGGGTAAATAACCAGCATGGGTACGGGCAACACATTTACAACTTGACAGGTAGACATTTCAAGAGATGCTAGCCCATGTTACTTATTGCTTTTCCAACGCTAAATAGTACTGGGTGAGCAACGAGTGGGTGTAACAAATTACGGATGGGTAACTGATAGCTGTTAGAACATCTTAGTGGGTATCTGATGGCTATAATCATAGCCCAGTGGGTAGCGGATAGGGCGGGCGAAGCAAGTCTCACCGGAAAACACTCTAAATGCCAATGCGCGAGAATGCAATTGTGCAAATGTCAACACAGAGCCCCGCTATCTGTGCAAGTCGAAAGGTTGGGTTTTGCGGGCATGTAAGCAGTTTGTTTTTAAATTTCTGCGGTATCAGCAAACTGCTGACCTCTTGCGATCACGTAAAACTCAAGTGATTTGCGTAACAAATCTCATAAACAAAAACCGTGCCACGCCAGAATGGAAAATAAAGTCAACTTGGCGCGTTGCACACATGCAAGAGCAGCTCCAATTGAATGGAAATGATAGCAAACACTTATTGTAGTGGCTGTCATGCGTGAAGCGAAAGCAACAGGGATGTTTTGCTGTCAACGTCCTTGGCAATATGTGTGTAACGCATGCAACTATCTGCGTCCCAAACTGTTGTCAACGGAATCGAACACATTGGAGATAATTCAGAAATGACGATTCGTCTGCTTGTATGGGATTTGCAATCGACACACAATTAGTTCGTGTTGAAGGGATTTAGCAAGGAAATCAACCCAATGCGCTGGAGCCGGGGTTGATTTTCCCAGGTGGAACCAGCCACATGTCTGGGTGAGTGGCACATTCCTACTCTCTCGTAACAGACAGAGGAAGTGCCGGTACCATAGGGCCAATCTCAGTCGTCCAATGTCACCCAGGCAGGCTGGCAATGGCGGCAACCTTCAAAGGTTGTAGCGGTGCGCGGTACAAAGGACAGCAACGCCGCCACCGACGCACAGTCACCCTCTGCTCTACCAATCATGAACAAGGTGAGCCCGGTGGTGTCGGTGTTCATGGAGGCGGCTGAAAGCCGACAATTCAGCTGGGTTGAGGTGTGAAGTTGAGATGGTTGCTTGGTGTTATTAGTTTAGTTTTGCATTAGTTTTGGTCATTATTGTTTCCGTTTGGTCTTTGTCTTTCTGAACTGTACTCACGCTGCTATCATTGGCTTATGAAGTGGATTAAAGGTGTTGGCAAGCAAGGTTTAAAGGACACATCACCAAGATGCTGCTAAGGTCTGCCCAAATGTGTTGTTACTCAATTTATCATGCAAAAAGAAAACATCACTTCGTACAACTTAGTTGCTGCTGCCCAGCTGCGTAACAAGCGAAGTTCTTTTCTTATTTATGTTCATCAAAACCCCCAAATCACTATACCCACCCTTCAATTCCAAGCCATGGAAACATTCACTTTCTCCTTCAATCACAAACGTTGCTAAAGATGGTACCAAAATGGTTTTGAAATGTTTTGGCTATCCCATGAATGCCAACTTCTCATCGCATGGAAAAGAGAGACATGTTCAAAAACAAGTTCAGGGTTTACTGAAATGTACGTAAGCTGTTTTAGATGCGTGACAACACAGTGCACTGTTTGGCTGTCTGTTACTTTCCAAGCTCTGGCCTTTTCTCTATCGTTTCGCTGCTGTTTCCAGTTTTTGGTCGTGCTCTCGTTGGCCGTGGTGGCCGTGGCGGCCGCCTCCGATGTGGACCTGTACCAGGACGAGTCCGTCGCCGTGGCCAGCTACGCCTCCCCCGCCTACGGTGGAGGTTACGGCTACGCCGCTCCTGCCTACGCCTACACCCGTAGCTACGCTGCCCCTGCCTACGGTCTGGGCTACGGCAACGTCTACGGTTTGGGATATCGCGACGGCTACGGTCTCGGCTATGGACGCAGCAACGGCAACAGCAACGGCTATGGTCTCGGATATGGCTCTAACGGCTACGGCAATGCCGGCTATGGTCTCGGCTACGGCCGCCGCTCTTACGGTTTCGCTGCGCCGTCTTACGGATACAACCGCAGCTACAGCTACTCTGCTCCTGCCTACTATGGCGGCTACAGCAGCAACCACTAAAGAACCCAGCGCCAGCAGCGAAAGTGAAACTTCAGTACTCTCATGATTGTGACTTAACTCTGCAGGATTTACCTGACTAGCGAACTGTATGGTTTGAGTTGTCAGGTCTAAATACACACTATCGACTGGTTTTATTATGTCGTTTGTTCCAACTCGCACATAGCTCTGCCTTGAGAAGAATAAATATGAAGAAGAAAGTATGAAAGAAGATTAAGAGAAAGATGGGGCATCAGTGTGAAAGCTGCGAAGTTCCGAAATGCTCGCGGTAAAGAACAGTGACTGTCCAAGGGAATACCAATGACACTGTTGACACGGGCATGGCAGCACATCTATAAATGACAGAAAAAAGCAGGATGATCTCGTGTCATAGCTATATGCCTCATTCCCTGGTATGCATGATCTTCTCATTGTTTATCTACGGCTACAAACTCTCACACGTTAGTGTGGACGCTTTGGGCCCCATGCGATAACAAATATCGCCAGACTCAACCTTTTAACTATATGGAAAGACACGTTTAACTTAGCTAACCTAGGCAATTTGGAAGACATTCTCCAAGCTAAGAGGGAAGCGTTAAAGGAAATGCGCTCCGTCTCTAACGATCAAAATGATTCTAATTGTATTGCTAAAATACATCATGCAGCCATACGTACCATACCGTGCTGTTTACTTTTTTGTAACTTTTTATGTTGCCTCCTTATGTTTGCGGCCACCACGAACGCAGTTGCATCGGATTAAAACACTTGTATCAAGTTCAGCCCAAGGGCACCATCATTAGGTAACACTTTTCAAGCGATGGATTGCTAAAGAGATTATAATTGACGTTTTCTCGACGGATTCATCCGCACACTCTAGTGGGCTTAAATACCACCGGGGTCTGCTTTGAACATCACGTAAAATCCATATTGGGCTACTCTGTGTCTGTCAGAGTTGGGAAGAATCTTCCTTGAGAAAAGGTGTAGAATGTCGTAGAGCCTTTTTTGGTTGCCTGGACGTCAGCTGAGCGTTTACTTGACGATGAAATACGGTGGGGTCACGAATAAGGAAATATATTTAAATTTGGCGCTGCCATGCGTTACGATTGCAAGGTTACGATAAAATATCATCACAATAGTTAGGTTTGTAACTTCATCCCATGATATTAGCCTGGTTTTTACAACACATAAGTTTGGCACGTAGCCATGCGCTTCACGGCTTTCTTGATCAACACGTGTTTCATGATAAAGGAAAATTAACGAGCCGACGGCTTCAGCTCTACCTTTATCATACGCAACGTGGAAGACAGAGGCGAAGGTGGAACGGAAGAAGGGGCACCGGCACAAAATGAGTCAGTCGAGGCTTTAACTGAGCCACAGTAAAATGAATGGCGCAAGCGGTATATTTCCATGCAGTCATTTAACGCACAGTTCCTTCAGTTCATCGACTTAAAAAAGTTGCTTCTTTCGGTAGCATTGGAACTCAGTTCGAATTACAAACGCTGAAAATAAAGCCAAGTAACGCAAATCGTGCTTTCTTGCAACCAAATTGGTAAGACGAACCCCGCATAGCACCCAACACCTGCGGCCTTTCCATTGTTCCACAGCCGAAATTTTAGATGACTTCGTGCTCTAGGGGAATCGACAGTGATCCTACTAAGGTTTGGCAACGATGCTAATAGAGGCGACTTCACGGGTTGAATACACACTTCGGTGCTCATAAGAAGAGGTGATATGGTTTGGTTGCATATTTTGAAAAAAACTTACCAGCATTGGAACGAAAAAGACAGTTACGAATTGCCGGGTAGACATCTAAAACAATACTAGCCAATATCATTTATTGTTTTTCCAACACAAAATAGCACAGGATGAGCAGCGAGTGGGTGCAATAGATTACGAATGGGTAACTGATAGCTAATAGTAAACCTCAGTGGGTATACGGTGAATGTAATCATAGCCCAATGCGTGGAGGATGGGTCGGAGAACAGCAAGTCTTACCGGAGAAGACCTCTAAATGCCAAAACACCAGAATGGAGTTGTACAGGTGTAAACACAGAGCCCCACTATCTGTGCAAGCCAAATGGTTAAGGGTGTGAGGGCATGTAAGCGGTTTGTTTTTAAATTCCTGCAGTATCACCCAAACTGCTAGTTTCTTATGATAACTTAAAATCCAAGTGATTCGCCTGGAAAATCTTAAAAAGAATACCCCTGCCGCATCGAAATGGAGAATGAAGCCGACTCGGCGCGCTACACACATACCAGGGCAGCTTCAATTAAATGGAAATGATACCAAACACTTGGTAGTGGTTGTCATGCGTGTTGGGAACCAGCCGTATGTCTGGGTGAGTGGCACATTCCTACTCTCTCATAACAGACAGAGGAAGTGACGATACCCTAAGGCGATACTCAGTGGTCCAATGTCACCCAGGCTGGCCAGCAATGGCGGCAACCTTCAAAGGTTGCAGCGGTGCCCGGTATAAAGGCCAGCAGTGCCGCCACAGACGCACAGTCACCCTCTGCTCCACCACCAATCATGAACAAGGTGAGCCCGGTGGTGACGGCGTTCATGGAGCCGGCTGAAGTCTGACGATTCAGCTGGGTGAGGCTGTGATGTTTAAATGGTTGCTTGCTGTCATTAGTTTAGCTTTGCATTAGTTTTGGTCATTATGGTTTCTATTTGGTTTTTGACTTTCTGAACTGTACACATGCTGCCATCATTGGCTTTTGCAGTGGATTAAAGGTGTTGGCAGGCTACGTGTAATGGGCAAAGATACTTCTAAGGTCTGCCCAAAATGTGTTGTAATTCAATTTGTCATGCAAAAAGCATACATCGCTTTGCCAAACTTAGGTTGCTGCTGCTCAGCTGCGAAACAAGCGGAGTTCTTTTCTTATTTATATTGCTGAAAACCCCCAAATCATCACGTCCACACTTAAATTCCAAGCCATGGAAGCGTTCAGTTTCTCCTTTAATCACAAAAGTTGCTAAACGTGGTACAAAAATGGTTTTGAAGTGTTTTTGTTTCCCCTACGAATGCGCACTTCTCAGCGCATGGAAAATAAAAATGTGGTGAGTTTAAGGTTTCCTGAAATGTACGTAGGCAGTTTTCGATGCGTGGCAGCATTGTGCACTGCTTGGCTGTCTGCTGTTTTTCCAGGTCTGGCTGTTTCTCTATCGTTTCGCTGTTGTTTGCAGTTTTCTGTCATGCTCTCGCTGGCCGTGGTGGCCGTGGCGGCCGCCTCTGATGCGGACCTGGACCAGGACGAGTCCATCGCTGTGGCCAGCTACGCCGCCCCCGCCTACGGTGGAGGTTACACCTACGCCGCTCCTGCCTACGGCTACACCCGTAGCTATGCCGCCCCCGCCTACGGTCTGGGATACAGCAGCGGCCACGGTCTGGGCTACGGCAGCGGCTACGGTCTGGGATACCGCAGCGGCTACGGTCTCGGCTATGGACGCAGCTACGGCTATAGCAACGGCTATGGTCTCGGATATGGCTCATACGGCTACGGCAATGCCGGCTATGGTCTCGGCTACGGCCGCCGCTCTTACGGTTACGCTGCGCCGTCTTACGGATACGGCCGTAGCTACAGCTACTCTGCTCCTGCCTACTATGGCGGCTACAGCAGCTACCACTAAAGAACCCATCGCGAGCAGCGAAAGTGAAACTTGAGTACTCTCATGATTGTGACTTAACTTTGGAGGATTTACCTGACTAGTGTACCGTATGGTTTGAGTTGTCAGGTCTGAATACACACTATCGATTGTTTTGATTATGTCGTTTGTTCGAACTCGCGCTTAGCTCTACTTTGGGAATTATAAATATGAGCAGGAAAGTATGCAAGAAGATTAAGACAAAGATAGAAGAATAAGTATCAAAGCTGCGAAGTTTCGAAATGCTCGTTGTAAAGAACGGCACCTGATCAGGGACATGCCAGTGACACGATCGACACGGGCATGGTAGTACGTGTAGATGTGACAAAACATGATGAATTCGTCTTTTACCTGTACACCTCATTTTCCAGTATATATGATTTACTCATTGCTTTCTTACCGTTACACACTCTCACACGTTAGTGTGGGACGTTTTGAGCTCTAAGCAATAACTAACAACGTCAGGTTCAATTTTTAAACGGGACGGAATGAAATGTTTTACTTAGCTAGCCTGAGGATCTGTGAGATATTCTTCAGGCTTGGGGTGAAGTGATTAAGAAAATCCCCCAGCTCTGCTAAGACAAATGATTAATAGTTCAAGTTTGCATGGCAAAATGCACTATGTAGCCATAGATACCATGCCTTATTGTTTTTTTGGAAATATTTATTTGCCTCTTTATGTTTGCGCCTACCATCAACGCGGTCGCACTGGATTACAACACTTGTGTCATGTTGGGCCCAAAGGCGACGTCATCAGCTAATACTTTTCATGCGATAGACTGCTGAAGAGACTGAAGGAGGTGCTTTCTCAACAGATGCATCCCCGTATTCCCAGGGGCTTAAATGCCATCTGGGGTCTGCTTAGAATATCACGTAAAACCCATATTCGACTGCCCTGTATTGGTCAGAATTGAGAGCAGGTTTGCTTGGGAACAGGTGTAATATGTTGTCAAGTTTTCTCCTATTGACTGGACGGCAGCAGGTGGGTTATATGATCATGAAATACGGTGCCACCACGAATGAAGAGATAAGTCAGACTACGGCACTGTCATGCTTCTAGATCGCAAGCTCGCGACACGATCTCAACAGCTGGCAAGGCCTCCTTTCATGGCATTAGCCTCCATTTTATGACACATAAGTTTGGTACCTAGCCGCGCGCATTGCGACTTTCTTGATCAACACGTGTTTCTTGGTAAACGAAACTTCATTAGCGGACGGCTTCGGCTTTGTCTTGGTCATATACAATGTGCGAGACAGAGGCGCAGAAGGGAGGCAGAGAGGGGGAACAGGCACAAAATGAGCCCGCCAAGGCCTAAACTGAGTCACTGTAAAGTAAACAGCGACGGCGGTATAATATCATGCAATCATTTAACGCACCGGTTCAAACAGATTTGCACCTTTCGGTAGCATTCGACATCAGTTCCAGTTACAAAAGCTAAACGTAAAAAGAAAGTAATGAAAATCGTGCCCCCTTCAAACCAAGTTGGCACGACGAACCCACGTCTAGAATCGAGCATCTCTGCCCATTTCCATTGTTCCACAGCGCAATTTTGTACCATTGGCTGCGCAGGGTACTTGACAGTGCTCTTACCAAGCTTGGACAACAATATCAATGGAGGCGACTTCACAGGCGGAATAAACACTTCGATGCTCGTATGGAAGGGGTGACCGGATGGTTTGATTTCTTATTTTGAGAGACTTACTAGCATTAGTATGGAAAAGACGTTTACAAATTGTTGGGTAGGCATTTCAAGAGATGCTAGACCATGTTACTTATTGCTTTTTTAACGCTGAATAGTACCGGGTGGGCACCGAGTGGGTGCAACAGATTACGAATGGGTAACTGATAGCTGTTAGTAAATCTCAAAGGGTATACGGTGGCTGAAATCATAACCCAATGGGTAGCGGGTGGGTCGGGGGACAGCAAGTTTTATCGGAGAAGACCTCTAAATGCCAATACACCGGAATGCATTTGTTCAGATGTTAGCACAGAACCACCCTGTCTGTGCGAGTCGAAAGATTGGAGTTTGCGGGTATATAAGCAGTTTGGTTTTAGGTTCCTGCAGTGTGAGCAAAGCTGCTAGTTTCTTACGGGGACAGAAAATCCGCGTGATTCGCCTGGCAAATCTTGTACACAAAAACCTTGCCGAGCGGAAATGGAAAATAAAGTTGACTTGGCGCGTTGCGCACATGCAGGGTAACTCCGATTGAGTGCAGTTGATAGCAAACACTTATTGTAGTGGATGTCATGCTTCTAACGGAAGTAACAGTGGAAGTTTTCCTGTCGATGTGTATGGCGATGTATGTGTAATGCATGCAACTATCTGCATCCCAAGCTGTTGTCAATGGAATCGAGCACATTGGAGACGATTTAGAAGTGACAATTCGACTTCTTATGTGGAAGTCACAGTTGACACACGATATATTCGTCTTGAAGGGATTCAGCAAGAAGTCCAAACGAATGCGTAGGAGTCGGGGTTGATTTCCCTAGGTGGTACCAGCCACCTGTCTGGGTGATTGGCACAATTCTGCGCTCTCATAACAGACAGAGGAAGTGGCGGTATCCTAGGGCGATACTCAGTGGTTCAATGTCACCCAAGCAGGCCAGCAATGGCGGCAGCCTTCAGAGGTTGCAGCGATGCCCGGTATAAAGGCCAGCAGTGCCGCCACCGACGCACAGTCATCCTCTGCTCCACCACCAATCATGAACAAGGTGAGCCCGGTGGTGTTGGTGTTCAAGGGGCCGGCTGAAATCTGACGATTTAGATAGGTGGAACTGTAATGTTTAGATGGTTGCTTGCTGACTGCACTAGTTGTGGGAATCATTAGTTCTGTTTGTATCGGACATTATGCATTGTATGCGTTTTGCTATCATTTGGTTATGCAATGGATTAAAGGTGTTGGCAAGCAAATTTAATGGACACATCACCAAGGTGCTTCTGGGCCTGCCCAAAATGTGTTGTAATTCAATTTATCATGCAAAAAGCAAACATCACCTTGTAAACCTGATGTCGCCGCTGCTCAGCCGCGAAACAAGCGAAGTTCTTTTCTTATTTACACCCTCAGAACCCCAGATTAGCACGTCCACCTTTCGATTCCAAGCGATGTGAACGTCAGAATTGCTCATTTCATCACAAAAGCTGTTAAACATGACACAAAAATTATTTTGAAATGTTTTGGTTTATCCCATGAATGCACACCTTTCAGCGCATGAAAAAGAGAAACGTGGAATGTTTATATTTTACTGAGATGTACGTAAACAGTTTTGGTTTCCTGGCAACACTGTGTACTGCTTGGCTGTCTGGTGTGTCTCCAGCTCTCGCCATCTCACTATCGTTCCGCTGTTGTTTGCAGTTTTTCGTCGTGCTCTCGCTGGCCGTGGTGGCCGTGGCGGCCACCTCTGATGCGGACCTGGATCAGGACGAGTCCATCGCCGTAGCCAGCTACGCCGCCCCCGCCTACGGTGGAAGTTACAGCTACGCCGCTCCCGCCTACGGCTACAGCCGTAGCTATGCTGCTCCCGCCTACGGTGTGGGCTACGGCAGCGGCTACGGTCTGGGCTACGGACGCAGCTACGGTCTGGGATTTCGCAGCGGCTACGGTCTCGGCTATGGACGCAGCTACGGCTACAGCAACGGCTATGGTCTCGGATATGGTGGTTACGGCTACGGCAAAGCCGGCTATGGTCTCCGCTATGGCTCTTACGGCTACGGCAATGCCGGCTATGGTCTCGGCTACGGCCGCCGCTCTTACGGTTACGCTGCGCCGTCTTACGGATACGGCCGTAGCTACAGCTACTCTGCTCCTGCCTACTATGGCGGCTACAGCAGCTACCACTAAAGAACCCAGCGCGAGCAACGAAAGTGAAACTTGACCACTCTCATGATTGTGACTTAGGTTTGGAGGATTTACCTGACTAGCGAACCGTATGTTTTGAGTTGTCAGGTCTGAATACAAGCTATTGATTGTTTTTATCATGCCGTTTTTTCCAACTCGCACTTGGTTCTGCCTTGAGAGGTATAAGTATGAGGAGGAAAGTATGCAAGAAGATTAAGAGAGAGATAGAATAATAAGTATCAAAGCTGCAATGTCCCAAAGCTCTGGAAAGACAAATGCTTAATAGTTCTAATTTACATAGCAAAATGCACCATGGAGCCACACGTACCGTGCTGTATTGTTTTTCTGTAGCTATTTATTTCGTCTCTTTATGTCTGTGGGCGCCACCAACTCAACTGCATCGGATTAAAACACTTGTGTCATGTTTGGCCTAAAGACGCCGTCATCACTTAATACTTTTTCAAGCGGTGGATTGCCGAAGAGATTGAAGCAGATGTTTTCTCAACGGATATATCCACGTATTCGCAGGGGCTAAAATGTCATTTTGTGTCTGCTTTCGAATATCACGTAAAGTTCATATTCGGCTACCCTCCATTTGTCCGAGTTGGGAATAAGTTCCAGTTTTTCGTCGTGCTCTCGCTGGCCGTGGTGGCCGTGGCGGCCGCCTCTGATGCGGACCTGGACCAGGACGAGTCCATCGCCGTGGCCAGCTACGCCGCCCCCGCCTACGGTGGAGGTTACAGCTACGTCGCTCCTGCCTACGGCTACACCCGTAGCTACACTGCCCCCGCATACGGTCTGGGTTACGGCAGCGGCTACGGTCTGGGCTACGCCAACGGGTACGGTCTTGGATACCGCAGCGGCTACGGTCTCGGCTATGGACGCAGCTACGGTTACAGCAACGGCTTTGGTCTCGGATATGGCTCATACGGCTACGGCAATGCCGGCTATGGTTTCGGCTACGGCCGCCACTCTTACGGTTACGCCGCGCCGTCTTACGGATACGGCCGTAGCTACAGCTACTCTGCTCCTGCCTACTATGGCGGCTACAGCAGCTACCACTAAAGAAGCCAGCGCGAGCAGAGAAAGTGAAACTTGAGTATTCCCATGATTGTGACTTAGCAGTGAAGGATTTACCTGACTAGCGAGCCGCATGGTTTGAGTTGTCAAGTCTGAATATACACAATCGATTGTTTTTATCATGTGTGTTTCAACTTGGGCTTAGCTTCACCTTGGGAAGAATAAATGTGGGGAGGAAAGTATGAAAGAAGATTAGGAGAAAAATGGGTGGATAAGTAAGAAAGCTGCGAAGTTCCAAAACGCTCGTTTAAGAACGACGACCCTCCAGAGGCATGCCAGTGACACTATTAATACGAGCATGGTAGCACATGCACATGTGACGGAAAAAGCAACACGATGATCACGTGTCTTGCCTATAGAACTCATTCTCTAGCATACATGACTTACTTATTGTTTTCTAACGGCTACAAACTCTTCCACCTTAGTATGGGACGCTTTGGGCCCTATGCAGTAAATAATGTCGTCAGGCTGGAGAGCAAGCTAGACGGAAAGAGACGTTTAACTTGGCTAACCTAGGGACTTTGGAAGATATTCCTCAAGCCTGGAGCAAAGTGCAACCGCATCGCAAGTGCAAGTGCAAGCCCAGGCAACCGCTGGGCAGCTGCAACGGGACAACTACGTGTACCTACTGATCGCGGAGAATCTAAACCGCTCGGCTCTGAACGAAGCAACCATCCAGCTGGCGAGAATTCTAACCGCTGGAAGCAAGTTTTCCGCACCCGGGGACTGTAACGCCAGCTGCCTGAATTTGTCATCCACGTCCGGCGGCGATGATGATGATGATGATGATGATGATGATGATGGTGATGATGATAATGATCGATGCGTCGACACGTCAGGTCGGCCTGAGAGATGCCCCCACTGTGGACAGCCCCAACGCGGAACGGCGGTGCGCTCTGTGCCACATTATGGGCGATGTCTGCTGTTTCTGTCATGGAGGTGATGGTCAATCGCCAGCGGTCTGCGTAGATGTGCAATGCAGTACCTACCCAGGCGGAGCCGCCTTCGATCGCCACAAAAGTTAGTACTTTAAACCGGTGTGATCTTTCGAAAGGGTGCTTCTATCGACTTTATTCGGTCTTTTAAGGCCTATTTGGTAAGGATGTGGCATTCAAAGCCCATCACGATGTAGCATCGAGCAGGCTGGAGGCGGAGACGTAGTGCATCCTCTCAGTCAAGACTGGAGAGTATCGTCCGGAAGAACCCATCCTCGCCGGAGCTACGTGGTGAAACAATAACGGTCGTTACCTATCTTATCTATGATAACATCATTGAAACGCCCTGATGAGAGGTGTGTAATGCACTGGTGTGCAGCACATATAGCCTACGGCGTGATTTGGTCCGTCTGTCACGATCTACCCACGATGAGAGGTATGCAACGCACTGATGCGCAGTATATATAGCCGGCGGCGTGATTTGGTCCTTCTGTCACGATCTACCCATGATGAGAGGTATGTAACGCACTGATGTGCAGTGTATATAGCCTACGGCGTGATTTGGTCCTTCTGTCACGATCTACCCATGATGAGAGGTATGTAACGCGCTGATGTGCAGTATATATAGCGGGCGGCGTGATTTGGTTCTTCTGTCACGATCTACCCATGATGAGAGGTATGTAACGCACTGACGTGCAGTATATATAGCCGACGGCGTGATTTGGTTATCCTGTCACGATCTACCCAGAGATGCCATTTTGAGCGAGCTTGGTACCATTACTTGGTTTATAAACTATGACCTCTATCACACCATGGCCCTTCTTGCCAGGGTGGGGCAAGTGACGCAATATAGCCTCAGCCACTAAGTGCATCGAAAAGCCTTAATGACGACGAACTTTACCACGCAGCAGTTTTTATTTCAGTAGCTTACCAAGCTCAGCAGTTTGCAAGCACACACAGGGCTAAATGAACAGTAGACCGGCTCATTGACTCATGCTACTTGCGCGAGCGTTCGCTGAGAGGTCAGTGGTAACGGCGGGTTTTTGTTGGGTTGGGGCCCTGCCAGTTATTACTAGCACTCTTGTGTTACTGAACTCTTTCGGTTCAGGTGAGTAAAGCAGCGGCGCACACAGGGTAACGTCATTGGCCATGTAATGTTTAAATTTTGTAGAAACCGTGATGCGTTTTAGCGTGCTGTCCTCACGTGCGACATCGCCATCAGGTCACTGATATCAAATCGCGACTTTTCCGACATCCCGCGGTGGGGTGCCTGCGTGCGCCTCCGGTCACATATCCTGATATAGAGCGCTGAGACTCCACACACACAGACACACACGCGGGCGCTGCCGTCGGCGGTGTGTCGGCGACGTCAGGCGGCTCCGGTGGCGCGATGGAAACTCTCACGGTGAGGTCAAGAGCGCCGCGGTCAGCTGACGCCCGGTCCCACGTCATCATGTGACGTCATTGCGGGGACCACCGCACGGGGCATCAATGGTGCTGGAAAGAGGATGGTGATCCTTTGTAGCAAGCGAGACATTAAAGCCTCGCCATATGATGTCAGAAGAAATCGGAATATCAGTGCTAAAGGCGTGCTTGTGGTTTGAATAACTTCCATTTCTTGCCTGACAATGCATTAGATGAGAATGAAATTTTATGAAGTTGGAAGGGGGATGACTGGCACAGTTTGTCTGCATTGACTGCATCACAAATTTAACGTTCGCATTTTGGTTATTACCACTCTGTCGATAATTTATGATCATTTCGTAGGCACTTGCTACCAGTTTTTCATATCAAGAACTGAATTAGCTTTTCCTAACAAAACCATTAAGCCGCGATCCTGGAGATCTCAGTTGCTGCCCTGTTGGGATAGAGACTGTTTGTATTGCTTTCCCCGTGATAGACTACTGGCACTGTCATCTCGTGCTGAAAACTCGCGCTCATCTCTCGTGCTGAAAGCTTTCGGTGATAACCGCGCGTAGGACTGGTAGAAATATTCGCCTGCGCTAAACTTAGCCATGGCTTTGGGATGTTAAAGGTAATGTTTCACATTGATATAAGGGTTTTGAATTGAAATAGTCAACTTGAAGACATTTTGGTGCTGTTCACAATCTTAGCCCTCTTAAGACCTAAGCTCCTCTAATTTCCGAGCTATAGGTATATATATATATATATATATATATATATATATATATATATATATATATATATAGGGGCTATAGGTATATCGGGGAGAGCATTTCAAAGTCACCTTAGCATTCATGACATCATAATAACACCGTTCAAATCCTGCTATGACCAAAAAATATGATTACTGAGGCGTTCATACTTAACATTCTTAAGTAGGATTTCCAGATATAATGGCCGTTATTTGGCTCTAAAACAGTGTTGTGCAAGGTATGATGACGCGATCAGACCATGACACACTGAGCAGCAAAGTTCTAAACGGAGAATTATGCTGGGCAGTCTTTTTCACTAAAAAAGTGCAATTACACCAGTATTTAAAAGTTAGTCTATTTTATCATATGTGATGCTTGTTTCAATATCTTTATATGGGAACATTTCGCTTAACATAGCAACGCCATCACGTTCTCGTCTTCATCAATTGACACCCTGCCCTGCATATTTTCTCCCAGTTGGTCTGCTTGTCGGCGTTAGCAGCATCGACCTCTCTTCCGGTCACGAGGTCGGATCACGAAGCTGGAGGGTCTGCATCTGAAAGCGGAGGCTATGTTTCCGGCGACGGCAGGTACTCCGGCCTCAGCGCGGTGCAGACGAAGGTGGGGGGCAGTGGCTTCGGCTACTACGTCCGCCAGGAACAGCAGGGTGACGACCCGGGCCACGGGCACAGCTTCTGGCGGAGCTCGCTGTACGTGTCTGAGGACGGTGACCCAGCCTGGGAGTGGTCCGGCCTCAGGTCGGGTCAGGGGCGGCACGGGACACCGGGCGGTGGGCCTGACACTGGCCCACTGGGGGCGCTCGGCTACGGCGACTTGGACCGAAATGTGCCTGGTGCGCGGTTTGGGGACGAACTAGGGCGGCATTACTCGTTCGGTGACCAAGTTGTGCCTGGTGTGGGAGCTGGGGATGAGCAAGAGTGGGATCACTCGTTCGGCGACCAAGTTATGCCTGGTGTGGGAGCTGGGGATGAGCAAGAGTGGGATCACTCGTTCGGTGACCAAGTTGTGCCTGGTGTGGGAGCCAGCGACGAGCTAGGGCGGCACCACTCGTTCGGTAACCAAGGTGTGCCTGGTGCAGGGGCTGGGGACGAGCAAGAATGGGATCACTCGTTTGGTGACCAAGTTGTGTCTGGTGTGGGAGCTGGGGATGAGCAAGAGTGGGATCACTCGTTTGATGACCAAGTTGTGCCTGGTGTGGGAGCTGGGGACGGACAAGGGTGGAGTCACTCGTTCGGTGACCAAGTTGTGCCTGGTGTGGGAGCTGGGGATGAGCAAAAGTGGGATCACTCGTTTGATGACCAAGTGGTGCCTGGTGCGGGGGCTGAGGATGAGCAAGAGTGGAGTCACTCGCTCGGTGACGAGCTTGGCTCTGCTTCTCAAGGCAAGGATGGCTTTGTCCCAGGGCACACGGCAGTGGGACTTGATGGGGACAAGGGACCAAACGAGTCCCTCACGCCACACAAGCTACACAGCGGTGGTGAACAGCGCGATCCCAGTATTGGAGGTGCCTCTGTCATCAAGCCTGGCCCTGAGTCTGCCACTAAACTTGACCCTGGGTCCAAATCCTGCGGCGGTCACGGAGAGAGAAAATGCCACCTGCCGAAGTCAGCTGGCCATGAGCACGATACCACACACGTCACTCGCACGTACGACGATCACGTCACCCACAGTCACAGCCACAGTAATATTCACAGTCATAGTCGCGGTAGCGATGCCGATGGTAAACACCACGGCCCGCAGGACATCTCAAGCGATGGACGTGGCCCCGCCCCCAGAGGCATCCGCGGCCCTCGCCCACCGGGGGTGGTGGCGTTCCAGGCGCGTCCGGCGCCAGACTGGGGACACTCCCTACTGAGGGTGCTGGTCCCCAACGGACGGGCGAGCCTCGGGCTGCTTGTACGGAGAGGTTGAGGACGTTTTGTGCGGGAGCCCTGGAGTGGGACGGGAGGGCGCCCATCGTTATTGTAGTTTTGGAAGGTGTGACCAAATGAGGTGTTATGAGACGTTAATAAATCTACTTGGTACTGGTGATCTTTGTACGCACGTTTCATATCATCATCACCACCATCATCATTACCATCATCACCATCATGGGCATGATCATGATGCCGATCATCATCATCATATGTAGTCCTAATGACCGAATTGGACCGGACGTGATCACGTGGCACGGGCGAGAATGAACCACTTTCACCAGACGGGAGTCCCGGCGCGGGCGGCATTCAGCGCATGCTTACCTCTAAACTGGTGGTGCTGTTAAAACGGAGGACGATTTCGTCATTACATGCTTAAAAGTGTCATTCAAAATAAAATGTAGTTAAAAAGGAAGGAATCTATATGCAATGAAATGGCAGCTTGCAATGATGCCTCAACATCGAATTTCTTGCACATGAAGCATCTCGTCAAACAAACTCATATTCCCACCGCTAATTCCGCATTTTGCTAAAATCGCAAAAGTCATCACGGAACCAAGAAGGAAAGACAACCACTTTTATCAGCATGACACATGTCAAACGGCGTTTAATAGTCTTCGAGAAACTCTTTTCAAAGCTCCTGTGCTGGCTCACCCAGGCCACTGAAAACCGTTAAAACTTTACCCAGATGCATTACACCACGGCATTACTGCTCCCCTCGTGCAAGACACGGAACAAGGCGAAAGAGTGGGGGGGGGGGGGGGGTAGGGGTCCAATATCTCTCACATCGATTGAATGTCACACAACAACGGTGCCCCGTTACGAAAAAAAGAAACCTACGCGGTTGTGTACGACATACAGAAACATAGACACTACCTTCATGGCTCAAGATTCACTGCTATGACGAGTTACAACCCCTAAAACAGCTCTTTTGCTCTTTACCAGTGATATGAGAAATAAAGGATCCAACGCTGGGCCATCATTCTCGACGAATATCTTTGCGATGTCCAGCACACATATTTAGCGAGCAGAATATTTTTGCTGACAGACTCCCACGTCTCGGACCATCTCCAAGCGTGAGTATTATAGACTCCGACCAGACACGCAGGGCGCTGCAGGACTACAAGCAAAGATGTGCCTAGGAGAGGGTACGTGACCGAAAAAACTCTCTAGAATTTCCGTTACACAATCCCGAGGATCAATCAACTGTTCAAGAAAGTTTCCGGATGGCCAGATGCTTCGTGATAATCATGCGAATGAGAGGCATCCCGAATTAGGTGACATCTCCGTCCAGCATAGGTCTTGAACGGCATGGCGCTCCCTGTTACGAACACTCAAAAGTGCGCACCATTGCCTGGCTCACAGGTCGTTATTCCCCCGATTGTTGAAACCCTCCCATCGACTAAACCCATCAAGGGTATTTGGTGGTCATCTCGTTATCGATATCTCGTTATCGTTATCTCGTTTTCGACGAAAGCTTATCGACAAAAGCTTAGAAGAGAGCGACTCTCTCTGTAAAGCATAAAGGCTTTAAAACACACTTTCAAAATTATTGCAATATACAATTCAGGACCATTGGTGCAAAACTATAGTTACGATCGGTACATCATCACTCGTCAGCCCTGCTCAGAGGGACAAGGATTTGAATGTCCCCGCTATTTTTCGGCTTATCGAAGAGCACAAAAAGATAGCACAAATTTGAGTCCATATTTCGTGATGTATGGTTGGGAAGTAGCTATGCCCATGGACACTTCTCTGTCCAAAATTTGTTAAGGACATGAGTATGTCCCAGGAATGCTAGAATTATTCGTCTCTCTTATCATCAAGTTAAGTGTTATCTGACCTTAAGCCACGAAAAAAACAAATTTTACAGCGATCGAAGGCAAAGACGGTGAAGCACCAAGTGGCGACATACTGTATTCTAGACATCCCTCGGTTGTTGTGAGCTCGTCATCAAAGTTTTAGTACGTGCTGTTTGTGCAGCAGCGCAGTCTGCCGTTTTTTTAAACACATGCTGTCAACACATATTAACATCGTGTACAATGATATAGCAAAACTGCTCGAAAGACAAAAAGAAATGCTATTGGCGGTGTAAGTCTTCACTGTAGGAACGTCAGAGAAATCACGGTTCTCGATACAGAAGCGCCACCTATAACCTTTGATGTAGTCTGGTCCGCTAGGTGTCAGCACAAAGCGATCCGCCAAGGGCGTGATCCAGCTGCTCTTTTCTCATGTTGACATCAATCTCGCTTTGTCAATGAGCAAAAGCATTTCGGCATAATACAGTGGAAAATAATGTCATGCGTGAGTAACAAACACACGCCGTACAGCATTTTGCCTGCAAGAAGGATTTACCTATGTGCAAAATAGAAGCGGATCCAGGGGGACGGGTCATGAAACCCTTTTGGCCCCCAAAGGTCCATAGGCTCCGAAGGGGTCCAAATACGGCCGAACATCTACAGTGTTTCAACACAAAACTCGACAAAATTGGACGTGTTTGGGTTTCCTGACGACCAAGAGCAGTCGCAAGCGGAAGTAAAGGGCCCGCGAGTAGACAAGAGTAATTCTTCACTGATTGCGAGGGGCGTGATTGGGAGATTTTAAGGTTGATGATGCTTTGCAGTGGCCATATGCCATTTGCATATGGTCAGTGGGTTTGGGTCCCTTTTGCGGCTCATTATGCTGTCCAGAGGCCTTACGCTGTTGCCCGGGCCCTATATGTCCACTCCCGGGTCAATCTAGCCGCCAAGGAGCATTTCACGGTGCCCTCGATCTCTCTGCATTTTCTCGCATTGCCCTGCGCTGCTGTTGAGAAACTGTCCGCTTGCACACCTGGGTGCTCCTGATCGGTCAGGTTTTCCCCCGACAGATTCTTCCCACTCGCCCGAAAGGGCGGATGGGAAGAGTCTGTCCGTCACGATGACTCAGTTGGTTGGAGCGCCTGCTTTCCGGTTCTCCCACCCGTGGCGGAGTGGGTTCCAGTCCCTTCCGGTGCTTGCTATCTGCCCTCGACAGGTATGGCCTGCGGCCGCGATAAGGGTTAGATGACGTCAGAGGTCAGGACGGACCGTGCCGAGCGTTGCGGTGTGTATTCGCCACCAAATTCTGCCATTGACGTGGAATTGCACGATCGGATGGTAGGGTCAGGGCTTACACAACAAGCACTGCTTAGGGTGGGCTCTGATCCCATGAATCCCCTCATTCAAGTGGCTCAGATTTAATCTTCAAAAAGACTTTCGGGGTCCCAAATGATGTAGTACATTCGGTTGCTCAAGGACGCTTCATATTAGTCTCGGGCTCTTCTCACTTGCTCGGGGGGGCTTTGTACTGTTGCTGCGGCCAATGTAAGGTGAGTAACCGAGCCACTCGATGATCAGGGGCCCTCTACATTGATCTAGGGTTATTTTCCCTATTTCCTTACTTGATGGGACCCTTCACGCCTACCGGGGTCCTTTCTGTTAACCTGCCCGGGCACTTTTGATCTCACAGGAGTCTTACAATATTTTACATTGGTCTCCAGTAATTTTCCTTTGCTCAGAGGACCTTGTGTTCTGACCGGGGTCCTACAGGTCAATATGCCGGAGCACTGCCGATCATGCAGTGGCCCATCACGTTGGTCTCCGGTTATTCTCGCCTGCTCTGAGAACCCCATACTTGCTGACGGGATCCTCTTTGCTGGCCTCCCGCGGCACCCACGACTTCCGACACCACTCAGGCTCCGTTCCTATTGGCCTTGGTGCTTTCGCTCAGAGCAACAGTCGGATGTACGGCGATGAATTCTTACGCGTAATTGTCGAACGTAATTTTACGTGCCACTGACGGCA